CTGACTCCAGTTTTAGTTTATCGCAACAGTGGTGCACACCTTTTAGAACGACTTCTAAATTCAATTTGCCATAGATTCTGTCTGTGGGTTAGGTCCACCAACCTCGGAAACTTTGTGGCTTATACGGTGAACCAGGTTGTGCGTGTCAGTCGGACCGTTTAGTCTTTTCAGTCACTGCACTCATCCCACCAGCGGTCTCACTGGCTCTATTTTGATATCACGCTCACGTAGATGAGGGAGTGTGTTAGCTGCTGTGCAAGTCCATAATCAATATAAGCTAATTCACGTGCAAGCCCTCGTACGTGTGCCCAACATGCGGTGGTGTAAACATCAGAAATCGTCGTTTGCGAAGGTCAAATTGTCAACACCAGTAGAGCAAAATAGTTCTGGGTGTCGCTCACTATCCGTTCTTGAATCTCGCCGTGCCACAAAATCTACTAAATTATCTGGTAGCTGGTCCCAAGAGCAAGTTTACTTAGATCCACATAGGAATCTCTTTAAAAAGACGTCAAGTGAACGAATTTAGTCTCTTGACATTGTCCATGCCGCGCATGCTTGCCAAGTCTTCAGTAGTTCTGCCAGTTTGACAAATTGAACACGACTTCTTTGAATTCAACAGCCGGACACAATGATCAAACATGAGCAGTAGTCCTAGTAAATATACAACCCCGAGACCCTTGTTACCCATATTTCCTCTTCTTGCACTACCTTTAACAGGGAATTGATGGTGCTATGTTTACCGCGTTTTATTATTTCAGCAGCTCACCCCATCAGGTTCGAAGTATTTTTTAACTCCACCGACCTTATTATGCCATGCATTATGTGGAAAGGATGGACAGTATGCGTTGCCCTGTCATCGTCTTATGTTTTCCTTTCTCCACACCAGTCGTGTAAACGACCTACTGGAGCTTTTGCAGGCTGATTTGGACTACAACGAGAACATAATGGAGGCTGAGTGTGTTTTGGAGCATGTCTTCCATTTCTGTGACTCACTTGACCTCTCCGACGAGTTCGGACGCCGTCGTCTCTATACCGTGGTTCGAAATTGGTTGGTCAACCAAAATGTTCCCGCTAGTCTCACTGCCTTCCTGCTCAAGCTCTACTTCAATATCGAGACAAATGTGGTACGATTATGCGTTTTCTCACTACACATATTCTTCTGCTG